ATGTTTGAGTTGCGTCATGCGTCATGCGTCAGTGACGCAACATATGGTTTCGTCAGGTTGCGTCATGGTTTCGTCAGATCTCATCAGTTGCGTCACACATCACTAATATCGACCATAGATTAAATCAATAAATATATATATATTGAAATCGGAAAATCGCCTCTTATTTTTAACATAACACCGTGATCTGCAGACATCATACTTTTTTGCAAACCGCAATAATTTTTGGCTAATTAGAATTTCAAGTATGTATAAATCCTTTTTTAAAACAACCGTAATTTTTATATTGCGGTTTGCAAAACGGTTTTACCCCACGATTGTTGTGGTAACGATATTGGGAGAATTTTGGAGATTCTAGATTGTCTATCAATCATATGAGTGCTGCCAAGGAAAAACCTGTAATCGGGTTTTCAATTATATTTGTGTCCAGTTTGTTCTCTAAGTGTAGTCTAGGGAAAATTTATTACCGGGCTTTCTCAATTATATTTTGTGATGAGTATAATTGAAAACCTGATGACAGATTTTCCCTAGACGGCACTTAGGGAACAAATTGGACACAAAATATAATCGAAAACCCGATAACAGGTTTTCCCTTGGCAGCACTCATATATTCAATTAGCAATATTATTTGGAAATCTATATAATTTCCTTTGAATCAAAAAACCACCTAACACGATGATCTGTAGAGGCCACACTTTTTTGCAAACCGCAATAATCAGAAATTGTCAGATTCAAGAAATCGTTTTTGTAGCCGTTTTACATCGAATATTGACTCTAAAAAAAAAATAGAATCGCGTAATATAAACCAATCAAATCAACAATAAAAGTAACTTTATTGTGATTGGTTATGTGACGTGACAGATATTTATATTTACACGTTGGTGAGACTAAGTAATTTTCTAAAAAATCTTTCATGTTAGTATTTATAAGAATTTTTGGAAAAATAGAACGTTTCATTAAAATACTACACACGATTAGTTTTTAAGATAATGAATATATAAATATAAAACTTCATAGATGCATTTTAGTAAATGTGTTCTGCCAATTAATTAAAAAAGGATAAATCTTTAGATTGTTAAATTGAAATACTAAATTATAGTCAATTTTAATATATGCTGTTAAACCTAATTTGAAATTCAACCCTAATTAATAGGATCTTGTTAATACCATAGAAGAGTGATCCTTCTGAACATTTTAAAATTCTTATTATGCTATATATTGTAAAACTTTTGAACTTACAACAAACAGAATTTCAGCCTGATTGATGAGAATAAAAGGATAAGGATATGATGTTCTCAACCAATTCTTTAAGAAATTTAGATTTGAATTGATTTAATAAATATTTTCGTTAAACCAGGTATAAACCATTATTACATAACCACTTGAAATATATATAACAATTCATTCGAATAATTGAATAATATAATAATGCAGGGTGAAAATTGCAAATCAAATAGCTAATATTAATTATTATTGAGTGTTAATATTATTAGTATACAATATTTTAAATATATTACTATATATGCAAAACTTTTTTTTGGTTTAAATATTTTGACAGCAAGAGGATATCATTAAAAAAAAACCAATACAATTAAATTAAATACAATTCTCTATATAAGTATGCGAGCATATATATTAAATCTTAATTATTATTTCTTTATTACCATTTTTGTATTGCTGTGTGAATTGAAAAATATTATGAATAAAATCAAAAAGTATTATAACATAAAGTAATAATTTATAAACTTACCAAAGTTAATATTACATTTTTTAAATTTATCAGTTGCTTGTTTTTGACCTTTTGCAGTAGCCAACTCTAAACACTATATTTCTATAATCTTAT